GTAGTGCTCAGTCCAAGAAAGGTAAACAAATCACCCACACACATCCAAATAAAACAAACCATTCGATCCTAGCAGGCAAAACCCATTGAGGTATGAACTTGTTTTTCAGAAGCAACCTGGCCACAAATGATAACTCAACAAAGTGGCCCATCATGTGGACGTTGATAGCACCAAAATAATCTAAATAAAATCGGAGGACCTAGAGTGTCGAACCACCGACCTCCTGCATACCGGGCGAAGCAGATAACATCTCACCACCGTGACACCTCTTATATAAATAAATAAAACATACAAGTTCAAATTGTGTCTCTCTAGTTCTATGTTTCTATAGTTCTTTGTAGATGTCACACACACATTTCTCTCCCGAGTGTTGATGTTTTTTCATCTGCACCCAGTGATTCAAGGCTGAGTGAACCTCGGTAAAAAAAACTCAGTTATTCTATACAAAGTTCACGTTAAAGTTTCATGCCGTTTCAATCGCAAGACCTGTAATCATCTTCTTGTCGCGTCCCAAGATGTCGCATTGTGGGGGGGGGGGGGGGGGGGGGGGGTGAAAGTTGGTGCTTTCACTCGCGAATGGTTCCCGGTGGTTATTGTCGTCCCCTCCACTGCAGAGTTAAAATTTCCACATGATGATAAGCCACTTTGTTGAACCAATAAGTTAATACCTCAGTGCGATTTGCCTGGTAGGATGGACATGGTTTTTTTTTTATGTTTTTGTGTGATTTGTTTACCTTTCTTGTACTTTGCACGGCTATCGTGCTTTTGTATTGTTCATTGTTGAAACGTTCTTACCCGCCCCGACTGGACATCTGTGAAAAAGAGCTTTATAGCTCATCGGATTTCTCCAGTATGAATAAATCTGATCCTGAGTTGTACCGTAACTATTATTGCATTAAATCTATGCAACTACTCGTCTATTGACCAATGAACGCTGAGCCTATTTTGATCCGGGCAGCATTCTCAACAAAAACCAACGTGATGCAAATCATGTAGCAAGCGGTCAGTAGGTTTATATTTTAATGGTAATTTAAAGCTCCCACTTTGACCACGAGCGTTGCTGTTGCCAAGTCGAATGTTCAAAGTGAAGCTCAGAATATAAAATGGCGGCCAAGATGGCTGCCAATTCTAAAACAATTGTAACGACATCGACAACTGTGTGACTGGAAGCCTTTTTATTGTTGACACACAACAACCACCCTAGGCCCGGCTTCCTTCTGGTCTTGAAGCTCGTCCCTTACCTCGACCATCCTCTCTCCTCGTGCTTCTCCCCTTTTATCCTTCTCCAGCCCTCTTTCTCGAACATTTTCTCAATGCTTTTACCCTCGCTGGCCGGTTCTTAACCGTCGCTTCCCATTTGAACCTTTCTTCCAATCCCTTGAAACCTCGCCTCCTGATCAATCATCTTAGAGGCCCCTTTACACCAATAGGAGGCTTTGGTCTACTCTCTGGAAGACCGTTTGGCTGCACTTTTGCTTGGGGTGAGTGTTTTCTAATTTAGTTCATGACACAATTGTGATTTATTATCCGGTTCTAAATCAACTCGACGGGACATTTTTAAAAATAAACTTTTCACATCTGTTGAAAGTCTGGAAAGCCAGTGGAATGTGTTTCTGAAAGTGTAGAATTGTCCGAGATTTTACATTTCACAAAAAATGGTAACCAAATATTAGGAAAAAAATACGAAAATTTAGATTTACAAAAATGTGAGCTAATTTTGTTAAGCGACATTTACTTTTACGCATAAGACCAACATTATGTTGTACGGAAAGTAAATGAACAAACTCCGGTGTAAATCTACTGCTACACAGCTGTTTTATAGAAAAAGTTCCGTGAAGGTGACTGCTACCAAGACTAAATACCCCCCAATATAGGTGATATTTAAGCATCTGGCGCTTCAAGGCGGTATGGTTGTTGCGCGCGACAAACTGCATATTGCGCATACGGCCCCCCTGCACTGGCCGTTGCCTCGCAAGAACATGCAATCACAACAATGGAACCCATCCGGAAGAACATTCAAAGTTGTTGTCATAACCGGGGGGGGCGGCAGTTTTCCTCCAGCGTGGAGTGTGATGCTTGCGGTGTATTTAAATGTTCCCGTCGTCAGCACACTAAAAGTGTCTCGCTGTCACCTTGCCGAATGGGGAGAAAAGCACGCGTGCAAAAACACTTGAGTGATTCTTTTTTTGCGTGTACAAATGTTGGCGGATGTGTCCCGAGTCATGCTGAAATGTTTTTTTTGGGAGGGTGGAGGGGTGGTAGGGTCGTCCGGTCAACTCACGACATCCAACAGGCCAGAAGCTCCTGATAGGCACGGGGCCGGATGGCACTTTGCCGGGGGAGGGGGGCCCGGTGGGGAGCCCTTTTTTGGTGTTAAGGCCCCCCGGGGGAAAGTCCCCCCTTTTGCCCCCCCCCAGCCCCCATGCCCTTGACTGTAGCGCAGTCACAAAGCCGCCCACTGCAGCAACGCTCGCACACACGCAGGCGCACGCACAAGACAAAGATCCCCCGTGTAGCCTTAACAAGCTATTTGGGGCAAGTGTTGTTAGCGAACAGCACCTTATGAAGGCCGGCAAGGCACACGAGGGGGTGGGTGGCCAACACCGCACCCAGCCGCCTTTGTCTCCCCAGTGACGATGATTTTTACACACCGCACCAGGTACTCATATGAGGCTGATTGACCTTGGGGAGACGCAGCACCGGTTCAGATAATCGTCACTGGTGTGTTGGTGGCCGTGAGCGGGAATCCAACCGAGATAAGCCGGGGTTCGTAGCAGTTACCGTGCTAACTGCTGCGCCACCGCTCCCCACGCACACACACGCGCACGCACGCGCGCGAGGTTTCCCACCAAATCGGAAGTGCCCGCGGAACCCGAGTCCGGTGCGGGGGCCCTGCCCAGTAGGACAGCTGGGGGGGGGGGGTCTGTGTCCGGAGCCCCACGCGGAGACGAACGCGGCTTCCCGTCACGACTATTTATAACCCTCGAGTCGGCGGCTCGCGTAATTATAGACTCGCGTGGGCGGGCAGGGCCACTGGCGCTCGCTGCGTCGCGATGACAATCGCGACGCAGCGGCGACCGTGGCGTGAGCGTACGCAGAGTACAGTAACGCAGTGGATCTCATAGCCTTCACTGCACCCCTTTGGTTCTCAATCCGTAAACAAGAAGAATGTTAATAAAGACATTGGTTTGTTGAAACAAAGTAGTTGTACTCCGTGCCCGTGCTTAATTTGTGTGTTCCACCTTCTCAAAATGAATCTGCCCGTGTCTCGCACCCCAGGCGATGTGAATGTGTAACCACCAGGTGATGTGAATGTGTCATCACCAGGCGATGACACATTCACATCACCAGGCGATGTGAATGACTCATCACCTGGCGATGTGAATGTGTCATCACCAGGCGATGTGAATGTGTAATCACCAGGTGATGTGAATGTGTAATCACCTGGTGATGTGAATGTGTAATCACCAGGCGATGTGAATGTGTAACCACCAGGTGATGTGAATGTGTAATCACCAGGTGATGTGAATGTGTAATCACCAGGTGATGTGAATGTGTAATCACCAGGTGATGTGAATGTGTAATCACCAGGCGATGTGAATGTGTAATCACCAGGTGATGTGAATGTGTAATCACCAGGTGATGTGAATGTGTAATCACCTGGTGATGTGAATGTGTAATCACCAGGCGATGTGAATGTGTAACCACCAGGTGATGTGAATGTGTAATCACCACGTGATGTGAATGTGTAATCACCAGGCGATGTGAATGTGTAACCACCAGGTGATGTGAATGTGTAATCACCAGGTGATGTGAATGTGTAATCACCAGGTGATGTGAATGTGTAATCACCAGGTGATGTGAATGTGTAATCACCAGGTGATGTGAATGTGTAATCACCAGGTGATGTGAATGTGTAATCACCAGGCGATGTGAATGTGTAATCACCAGGCGATGTGAATGTGTAATCACCAGGCGATGTGAATGTGTAATCACCAGGTGATGTGAATGTGTAATCACCAGGCGATGTGAATGTGTAATCACCGGTGATGTGAATGAGTCATCACCAGGTGATGTGAATGTGTAATCACCAGGTGATGTGAATGTGTAATCACCAGGTGATGTGAATGTGTAATCACCAGGTGATGTGAATGTGTAATCACCAGGCGATGTGAATGTGTAATCACCAGGTGATGTGAATGTGTAATCACCAGGTGATGTGAATGAGTCATCACCAGGTGATGTGAATGTGTAATCACCAGGTGATGTGAATGTGTAATCACCAGGCGATGTGAATGTGTCATCACCAGGTGATGTGAATGTGTAATCACCAAGCGATGTGAATGTGTAATCACCAGGTGATGTGAATGTGTAATCACCAGGCGATGTGAATGTGTCATCACCAGGTGATGTGAATGTGTAATCACCAGGCGATGTGAATGTGTCATCACCAGGTGATGTGAATGTGTTATCACCAGGCGATGTGAATATGTCATCACCAGGTGATGTGAATGTGTAATCACCAGGCGATGTGAATGTGTAATCACCAGGCGATGTGAATGTGTCATCACCAGGTGATGTGAATGTGTAATCACCAGGCGATGTGAATGAGTAATCACCAGGCGATGTGAATGTGTCATCACCAGGCGATGTGAATGTGTAATCACCAGGCGATGTGAATGTGTCATCACCTGGCGATGTGAATGTGTAATCACCAGGCGATGTGAATGTGTCATCACCTGGCGATGTGAATGTGTAATCACCAGGCGATGTGAATGTGTAATCACCAGGCGATGTGAATGAGTAATCACCAGGCGATATGAATGTGTAATCACCAGGCGATGTGAATGTGTCATCACCTGACGATGTGAATGTGTAATCACCAGGCGATGTGAATGTGTCATCACCAGGTGATGTGAATGTGTCATCACCAGGCGATGTGAATGTGTAATCACCATCCGCTAGGTTTTGAGTGCCATCACTCCCACCCACCCCGCTAGGTATCGGCTCCACACCCGCGGCCTGGACTGGCCTTGGCTACGTGACCGTGGCGTTGCCACTGCTGGTTTGAGCCGGTTAACGGAGGTCAGCACACGGAGGCGCGTTCGTATGAGTCGCGAGACGGAGGGCGATATGAAATTAGCAACCAACGACTCTGAGCGCTGCCCACCGCAATACTTGTTTGGGCAGGGCTCGTTGACATCGACGAGACGAATTAGGAAGGCGGCGGTGAAGAAGAAAAAGAAGAGAGTTTGATGATTCTCATGGAACACCAGGGGCTACTTGAAACGGCTTGAGATGCTGCCCACCAATGACATTGCATATGTAAACGGGATTCATTTAAAAGTTCCGTATAGTAAAACATTTTCAGGAAATCTTTGGTCGATTTAGTCTTTGTTCTTAAAATGTAGAATGAAGAAGTCATCAAAGGAAGACAGCACGATTTGTGCCTCAAGCAGCAGTAGTGTAGCGGGTAGCGTGTGGCGCGACGAACCTGGGGGGATGCGAGTTCGAGTCCCGCTCACGGCCAACACCGCTGGCTATTATCTGAACCGGTCCTGAGTCTCCCCTAGATCGACTCAGCCTCTAAATGAGCACCTGGTGCGGTGTGTAAGCATTGCTACTGGGGAGACAAAGACGGTCGGGCGTGGTGTTGGCCACCCACCCCCTCGTGTGCCGTACTGGCCTTCATAGGTGCTCGCTAACAGCACTTGCCCCAACAGTCTGTTCAGCCTAGACGGGGATGTTTGTCTTTATAGGCACTGGAGGTGCCTGTGCCACACTCAAGGTGCCCGTGGGGCCTGTCCCACGGGCACCGTGAGTGGGCAAGTGGACAAGCGGACACACCGTCCAGCTGCAAACAGCCAGGCGAAATCGCTGTCAGACTTTCCTCTGCCAATTGCTATGCTCCATGCTCATTGTAACGATTGAACCTTCCTCCCTGGCACTGTACATTCACTCTGAACTCCAACTGTGGTCAGAGGTCCCCAGGAGGACAGAAGAAACGGTTAATGGACGTTCCTGTTGCCTCGTTTCATGAAAATAAAGTGTGACATTGACACCAACTCGTGCGAGTCCCCAGCTCAAGATGGCACGGACTGGAGGAGGAGCGTTGGGGGCTGGCATCGTGCATCTTGAGTCACGCCGGTTGGCGCACGAGGAAGCCAAACGGGTGCAGCGACAGGAGCGCCCTGCAGCTCAACCCACCCACCCTCCCAACCACTCAACCCACCTACCTACCCAAACCACCCACCCACCCCTCAAGCAACCCACCTCCATCCACCCACTCAACCCACCCTCCCTCCCAACCACCCACCCACTCAACCCACCCACTCAACCCACCATCCCACCCATCCACCCACTCAACCCACCTACCTACTCAAACCACCCACGCACCCTCCCACCCACCCATGCACCCACCCATGCACCCACCCTCCCACCCATCCCGTCCCTAGCAGCTGCTGTCCCACCTGCGGCAGAATCTGTGGATCTCGCATTGAGCTCTTCATTCATTTCAGAACACACATAACTCCAGTAGAAGGGAAGTCATCCTTGGCCAACGAGAGGTTGCCAAAGAAGAAGATGAGAACGCTTGCATACACAGCACCCGTAAAGTCCGACACCCCCCCCCCCCCCCCCGTGAATAGATTCGCTGAATGAATTCACTCGGTGCCAGCCACTCTTCTATCTGTTCCTCCCTCTTAAATTCTCTTTTGTGTTCACAAACGCCCCCCTCCCTGTCCTCCCCTCCTCCAGAGGAAAAAGGGAAAACAAAACGAAAAGCAAAAACAACAAATCGAGGGTTCGTTGCGTAAGAAGATCAAAATTGGACGGCAGCAGGGGGCAAGACGCGCAAGATTTGTCTATGGAGTCCGTGCACAACCAAGGCCACTGCGTGCCCCTGCTGGGAGTCCCCAGCCAGCGGCGTGGAGCTTTGTGCTTCCTGGACGTACGTCCGGAGGCCGCTGCGCTGTGCCACCGATGGATAGAGCCTGACCTGATCGTCTTTCTGCAAGGCATCCAAGTGCTCTGCTCAGTGAACGATAACGTCCGCGGTTGAACGTGCATCTCTACGTGAATTCTTTCGCGGTAACGCAATGTTACATTGAATATCAATGTCGATTAGCACGTGAGTGTGTTTCTAATCCTGTCAATCCTTGTTTTTTTTGCATCGTATTTCAATTCACTGCAAAAATCATAATAAAATCCTTATCCTTTCTGGCAATAAAACAGGAGGAGGTGTTCAGATGCTTAAACACCAACTATCTGTTTCAAGGAATCAAGTCTGCATTAACCACACGTACTTGTGGCAAAAGATGCAAACAAGCACGCTCTGATGATAGATGGGCATTGATTTTGAAACTGATTAGCCGACACCAGAGGCAGCCTTCTCTACGGCCTAGTCTCAACCAGTGTTAGACCAGAGAACGCCAAAAGGCGAACAGCACAAATACAACACAAGGGCATTGATAGCTCGGTTAGAGCAGTTATATCTAAAACCTATTCATAATTTTCATACGTTGATAGTGACTAAAGGTACCATAAATAGTGCAGACATCGCCATGGTTGAAATGCTGTGCTCTGGCGTCTATGCTCCCTGCCTTGACCAACCCGCGGTGACCAGTGTGGGGAAGTATGGCCAAATAACCTCCACAACCGCTTTAGCCTAGGGGAGATTCTCATTGACAAAAAGAGCTGTTCACTGAATTGTTGTTTTTGTTGTTGTTGTGTTGTTGTTTTCAGTTTAACACGCAGTAGGCTTTCGCGACCAATATTATCCATAATAGAGGTTTTTTGGGTTAGATCGCGTAAATATGAATGTGTCGTTAAACCCGCCACCACCCGACACAGCCAATTAGTAAGGTTTGTCACGGAAACAACACTAACCGGTGTGTTGGAGAGTAAACCCACAACATTTACAATTCGAGTACGAGGTTTCGCAAGTAATTGCAACTAGCACCATCAGGTGAACAGCCAGGTTTGTAGCTGTCTGCCTGATGATGCCAGTTCAACGCACCCGTGTGCTGAACTAGGATCTAATTGCCATATTTTGATTGTGACAAACCCTATTAATTGGCTGTGTCGGCTGGCGGCAGGTTTAACGATGCATTTATATTCACGCGAACTAACCTAAAAACCTCTATTATGGTTGTTGATTTTTTTTTTACCAACTTAATCGTTGCTTATGCACACAGTACGTCATTGATTGCATTTGTACGGCAGTATTAAAATGCGACGTTTTCGCGTGAGGCTTCGTCAAACACCATGGGGGCAACATCCAAGACGAGAGAGAACAACAATCCGGGAGGTAAGAATAACTGCGCGAGCGTGAATCGTCTGCCGCAAAGCCAACAGCGAGAATTTGATATCGAAAATACCAAAGAGCATATCACGCAAAGGCAACGAGTTACGCGTAGATGCCACAAAGAAATACGAAAAACTTAAAACTATGAACATTTTTTTTTATTTGACTAGGTAAGGCCCGACTGAGCGATATAGCTCTTTTTCAGAAGCGACCTGGCCACAAATGACAGCTCAATGAGGTGGCTTATCATCACGTGGAAATGTATCGCAGGCAAATGCTCTAAACGCGTGATGTTGATTCTAAATGTGGAGGGGAAAACCAGAGAAGAACAATCGCCGTGATCCCACGTGACCACGGGGAGAGAGAGACGCAAACTCCAAATACACAGCTGGCGTCAGGGTCGGGATCGAACCCACGACCTCCTGCATACCAGGCGAGGTAGTAAACAGCCTGCCACTGTGGGTTGTGTTGTCAGATGATTGGATGACAGAACTCTGCTTCAGTCAGCAGTGAGCCTGGAGCTGCTGAGGGTACTACCACAGGTCCCGTTGCCCGGCTGCAGAGCCAGCATTGTGTCAGTTGGAATTAAAATTAAAATGATGTTGGACTTATTTCGCACCGTAAGTAGCCAACCGTGTTAATTGCAGTTGCGAGGGAAGGACAACAAACGAAACTCAACAAGATTTGAGATTTTAATCTAAATAACAAAAAATGCTTGCTAGTATTGGAATGAAGAGCATTCCAGACGGCCGTAGAAGTGCATCTGAAAGCGCGCGATGCGGTGACGCAAAAAGCAGTTTTAAAGAAATGAGTATTGTAAATCTTGTTCATGTCAGTAATGAATGATTGATTGTGAAGGACATCATGAAGCTGTCTTATAACACAGTCAGTCCCCACGTGGTCTGGACTGCGGGCCGAGTGAGGGAGAGAGGGAGGAGGAGACACTGTTGTTTGTTCTCGGGGCTTGGCTCTCCGAGTGGGATTTGTGAAGTAATGGGTCACGCTCGGTAGGGGTCACGCTCGGTAGGGGTCACGCTCCGTAGGGGTCACGCTCTGCAGGGGTCACGCTCTGCAGGGGTCACGCTCTAGGGGTCACGCTCCGTAGGGGTCACGCTCCGTAGGGGTCACGCTCCGTAGGGGTCACGCTCTACCACGACTCGCCTCGTCAGGCCAGCGTGAGTCTGTGCCAAGGGGCCGTCGGCAACATGCGGCGCCTCTTTCGGGAGACTGCTTCGTGACGTCATTTACGAAGGGACCTCCACCGTCTGCGTATTCACCACCACAGTGCATTGCGGCTCTGGAAATATTGAGGGTTTTTTTGCCCGTATGTTCGGCAACAACAACAATAATAACAACACGTGCCTCGGCCCCACGTGCCCGCAGGCCCCTCTTGCAATGAAGAATCTCCCCGGTGACAGGTGAATAAGTGCGCGTGGGGCTGGTGGTGGTGGTGATGGTGCAGCAGGAGGTGGAGGGAGAGAGGGTGGTGCTGTTGTTGACCTGTGGGCTGGGTTGTCACTTCCTTGTCAGGCAGACCCCTTTGCTGGGGGCTGATCCCCCCCCCCCCTTTCCCCCCCCCTTTCACCCTCCGGTCGTCTCATCCACGTCACAAAGACAAATATCTTCCCAGTGTAGCCTTCACAGACTGTTGGGGCAAGTGCTATTAGCGAATAGCACCTATGAAGGTCGGCATGGAAACACGAAGGGGGTGGGTGGTCAACAACCACGCCCGGCCGTCTTTGTCTCTCCAGCGGCAATGTTTTTTTCCCCACATGCTCAATTGGGGCTGAGTCGACCTAGGGGAGGCACAGGACCGGTTCAGATAATCGTCACCGCTGTTGTGGCCGTGAGCGGGAATCGAACTCTGCTTTCCGCGTTCGTAGCGCAGCGTAGCGCTAACCGCTGCGCCACCGCTCCCCAAATAACACTCCCTCCCCCACCCCCTTCCGCTCAGCACGAGCGCCCTACCCCCACCACCTCTCCACCACCCCCCAAAATCCCCCCCACCTCCACCCCCCCCGCCCCCCCTTTCTGCCAGTGACAGTTTTACGAGTTGCGGCTGCTGCTGCTGCTCGCGTGGTTTATGCGATGAGGACGTGACCGCAGTGCGGATCTCTGACTCAGCAGCCAGCGCACGCGTCGATGCGCCGATATTATTGCCGCGTACAAGCAGAGGCCTTGCTAGGGTACGGCGAATCGGGGTGAACGCCCCGGGTCCCGCGCTTTGGGGGGTGGCGCTGCGACGTCATGGTGTCAGATGTAATAAGTCCGGTGTGTAAAGTCGGAGCCTAAAGTCAAGGTGCACCCAACTGGAGCAGGGGGCTAAAGTCAAGATGTACACAACGAGATTCAATGTAGAATCAGGGCTTAAAGTCAAGGTGCACCCAATGAATCGGAGCCTAAAGTCAAGGTGTACCCAACGAGTCAATGTAGAAATCAGCTTCAAGTCAAGGTGCACCCAAAAGGTGTAATATGAAGGCGTCGGGGGGGGGGTTCCCGCACGGTGTGATTTGCTCCGGGCCTTGCCACCCTTGTGGCCAGCCCTGCGTACACGAGTGGGGATGGGGGTTCGTTGTAAACTCAAGTGGCTCGTTGGGGATTTGCTTTAATTACTCATTTCCGCACGTGTCCGCACAGGCGTCAACATACGCACGCACGCCGGTAACGCGCGGCCCCCTTGTCAACACAGCGGCTGAATGAAGGCCTCCTACCCACAGGGTTTCGCGTGTGGGTGGAGTGGGGGGCTATTTAACCATACTTCACCAGGTTGGTAATTGCGGGTTAGTGAAGTGGGCAGCGAGGGGGGGGGGGCGGTGTCGGTGGAGTAATATCGACACTGATGTTAGGGGCATCACGGTGGGCGAGATGTTAACCACCTCGCCAGGTGTACAGGAGGTCGTGGATGCAATCCCGACCCTGACGCTTGCTGTATATGTGGTGTTTGTATGTCTCTCTCTCTCCCCG